CCCATTGGCAATAGAATGAAACATATCAGTATTCTACCATTCCAAAACAAGTATATATATATATTATTTATAAAAATAAAAATATTATTTACAAAAACCTCGAGAATATAATATAAATTGAATTTGTCAAATCCATTAATCTACATTTATATCAAAAAATGATTTTTTATCTCAAAATTTATGGAAACAAAAATATTAATAATGGAATAATTATTTTAACAGGTAAAAATTATGAATTTGCATATGATGTGTATATTAGAAAATTTAATATATTTGAAAAATTTTAAGTTAATATTATATATTATTATAAATTTTTAATTTATATTTTAATTACATTTTATAATAATGTTTTTATTGTTTACAAAGATAAAAGTATTGTTAACTAAACATTTGAGAATTAATTTTTAGTTAATATTAAAAATTAAAAATAGTAAAATAGAAAATAATTGACATAATAATTCACATATAATTAATTGTTGCATATGTTTTGTGCCTTGAAATTCAATAGAAAATAACATAATAATAGTTTTGTGCATGTATTAATTTTTAATATATATATATATATATATATATATATATGTTCCAGCAGGATTCTTGATTGATACAATATCAATAAAATTTTATGATTTCTATGCATCCCACTATATTAATTGTAGTATATTTCTTCACATATACCTTTAGAATATACATTTTCTATGTATCTATACATTAATTATGCCTATTTTGATCTTAAAAATAATGTTATTAATATGTTTATGGAATTTATATTCATTTTTGGCGTATCCATAATTTTTCATCCGTATCCATGCATTTCCAAAGCGTATTCGTATCCGTATCTGAGTGGTCCGATACGATACCCGATACCGATACTTTAATCCTTGGATTTAAAGACTCAAGACTTTCAGTTCTTATTTATAATTAAAGCAAACAAATTTCTATAAGTAACTCGTATAAAAAACAAATCTAACTGTAATAATCCTCTATGTGAAACGAAAGTAACCTAAAACCAAGAATTCTTTGACAAATCCATACATTGTCTAAATTTTACATATTTCTCATTGTTTAAAATGTATAAATGTTTCCTAGCATTTCTATGAGTACCGGAATGAAATGTTATAGGAATATTTCTCTATGTGTTCTCCTGTGCTTGAAAATCTTTTATTATTTGTTTTAAACAAATTTTACTTAGTTATATCACTATAAGATTTTCAATTTGCATGTACGTAGATATAATCTAGGGATCATTGCTTAGTTTAATGTAAACGGTCTGGTAAGTGTAAGAACATGAACATGATGTAAGGTCACCTACTTTGATCCCAAATGGTGTAGGATTAATGATAGGGATTGGTTAGGTTAGGAGGAGTCTTAGGATTTAACTACAACAAATTCAACTTTGCCTCCAAATTTTGGGTTTCAACATAAACTTGAAGAAAACATGCTTGGATCAATTCCAGTCCTTTAGAGATGTTGAATAAACTTCAATGAAGATTTGTGAGCTTAGGATGACTGTAAACATTATTGTAGAATTAAAGAGAAGATGGATAGAAGAATGCAACATTGGTAATCCAAGTCCTTCTGGAATAGGGGATGTTTCCAGAGATGCAAGGAATAACGTAATAGCTATGTACTTGGAAACTCCTTGAGGTCAGAACTTCTTGATATCCTACAAAGCTTGAGGATGGGTAGACCAATGAAATTTAGGAAGTTTATTGTAGAAGGGGACTCAAAAGTTGTGATTGGGTGATTGTAAAGCAATAGTCAAGCAGTTTTGCAGTTCAGGCACACCATAAAGGAAACCAGGCATTTGGTATGGGAACTTGAGGCAAATTTTCACTGGGTTAGAAGATATATAAATTGCTTGGCTGACACATTTTAGTCAAACAAGGGGTAAATAGGGAACAAATGTTTGGGCTCAAGCTCAAATGTAGAAAGAATAGAAAGGTGATGTAATAGTTTGATACATAGATACTGCTTGGCATTGTACATGATTTTTATTTATTTTTACATAATCTAATGAAGTTCAAAAGTTACCAATAAAAAAGAGGATGGGGAGAGAAAATCTAAAATCACTCAACAGGAAATAAACCTTGATATTACTCTAAATCACGTTGTATCTTTGTGGATTTTTAACTCATTAGGTTACTAAGTGAATAATTTTTTATTTGCACCAAAATTAGGTAATTTGAAAAATTTTAACATGGTAAAAGTGAAATAAAAGTCAATGTAGACTATGACTTGTGGAATGTGTTCTTGGTCTTAACCTTTTTTTCTGTTAAGAAAAAAAATGTCTTTGAAGCTTCTGGAAAAATTTCATTACCCAATGTTGGTCATAGATATAATGTGTATTTAAAGATTTTGAAACAGAAAATGTAGGCTAAACACAAGCTGTCCAAAAGTTGCTTTAATCATGTTGGAGTTCTGGAATCTTTGGCTCATTTGAATATTAATTGAATAAATTTTCTACACACCAAAACTAAGGCACTTTAGCAACTTTTGGCATGCAGAACTTGAAGTAAAAATTATTTATAGTTCTCTTTTGCACAATGGAAATTTCTATCTGAACCATTAAAGGAATTTTAAATGGAAAGAATGCAAATTAAAAGGTAAAAGGAATAGAAAATTAAAATACCACATAACGAATGTTGTTTTTTTAAATACTTTATCATCTTTCCTCATAAACTTTTACTGGAAAGCATTCACCTTTTGTCTTCGGACGGCTTATCTTCCTAACAAACCATTAGAAAGTTCCATGGATTACTTTTGGCACATCTCATAATGACTAACTCTATGCTACATTCCCTTGGCAAAGTGGATATATGATGAAGGATACTAATAAAATTGTAAAGTTTCACTGCTTATTTAATCCTTCCTTGAGTATTCTCTAGAGTTGTTTTGATTGTTAATATCTAAAATCCAATGAAAAGATTTTCCCCTCACTTTAAATCTTATCAATGATTTTTATATATCAATGTGACGATGAGTTACTTTTGCATTTTTTGAGAGGAAGAGCTTTGTTCCTTCCCTGGTTTACCAGGGATTATATGATATCAGTTTACAGGTGGATGATATGAACTTTTGTTGTTGCAGTTATTGGAGAAACTACAACTTTTGCCTCTCCCAAAGGGCTTTCTTTTCTTTCTAATGGAGAATGGTACCTTTGATTCTTGGGATCTTTCCTTTTTTGATAGCATAGTTTAATGGTTAGTAGATAGTAGTGAGTGTAATGAAGGAGTGATTCTATTCAAGATTTGGATTTTGAATTCCTTGGATATCTGTTTAAAGGCATCATGTTCAAAAAGAAATCCATAGAAGAATAGCATATATATACATATATTGATAATAAGGTAAGGAAGAATCTTATTAGTGAAAAAACGAAGTACATGAAAGAAGGTGATGAGATGCCACCATCACAAACTACACAAAAAGCAAACATGCAACAAAATTCAAACATCCTATACATAAACTACAATATCAAGAAGGGACCAAAATTCTGCTCCAAATGACTTTACATCTTCAAATTCTAGATGCACCAACAACCATTAATATAAGTAATATCAGATTAGGGCATGAGAGGTAATTTTTGAATCTCACCCCATTCATTTGAAACTCTTGCGTCTTGGTATCAAAGCCCAAGGGGGCACGATCAATAATAGAATGATTAAGGGGCTCAAGGTCAAGTAGCTGCTTACTTGGATTACTTGAACTTGAGGCATCAAATTGTGGTGGTTGTGCAGTGTCAGGACCAACCTTCTTATGCCGCCTAGAGAAAATCTTCAAGGGAGATACAACTAGAGAGGGTGGATGCTGTTGCAAGGGAGAGAAAACCTTTGAAGGGGGTGAAAGGGAGTAGAGCTACCAACACAAGGAGGACTAGAGGTACCAATAGAAGCAGAAACAAGAAGGCAAAAAGGAGTTTGATCTTCATTGACACTCTTCCCTTGAAGAGAAAGATGAGATTATTGAAAGGAAGGAGTGGACTTAAGAAACATGATTTTTGACATCCTTGGACACAAACCTTTTACCAGACTGGGGATCAAAACATCTATAGCCTGTCTAGACAGGACTCACTGGAGAATACCCAAGGAAAACACATTTGATAGATATTGGATCAAACTTTAGACAAGGACTCGTTTCATGAACAAAGAAGAAATAGATAAAAATCCAAAGAGGAAGATTGAAGGTTGTCTCATCAGGAAATAAGAGTTGATAAGGGTATGGAGATGAAGGGTCCGTGATTGAAGTCTATTGATGAGATACAGATTTTTGGACTGCATCTCCCCAGAAGTGAGTTGGAATAATGAACTTCAAGAATCTTTAACCACATGTCTGTTTTTTCTTTTAGACACCCCATTCTATTGGGACGTATATGAATGTGAGTTTTGATGAATCACTCCCTTTTCTTCAAGGAACATTTGTAGATACTTTTCAAAATACTCTTTTGCATTGTCAGATCTTATTATTTTAATTTTTTCTTTAATTGTGTCTCCACCATGCTGAAGAAATTCTTAACAATAGAAGACACCCCATTCTGCTCTTCATCAAATATTTTTTTGAAAAGTAAAATAAAAATTTCATTAAAATAAAAAAGGAGAATATGGAAGGAAGGTGATAAGATATCACCCGAGAGAGAAGATTACTGAGACACAACTTTTCACAAACCCTCCATCAACTACAAGACTATTAAAATAGGAGTACTAACTCCTCTAGGATCATATCATCATACAACTTCACTATTGAAATGATTGTTATATGAGCAAAACGAGTTAGCGGAAATAGGACCCTAATCTTCCCCTTCAAACACCTGCTTCTAACCATCATCATCTTCATCCCACCTCCATTTACCCCTTTCTTCAAAATTTCTTCTCTTTTCTTCCTCTCAAATTCTTTGAAGGCTTTCTTGGCGAATTCCTCACCATCCCAGAAGAACAAGACCAGGCTTTTGCCAATCTCTACATCTTTTTTAGCCACTTCCTCAATGGAGATACTTCTGGTTTTCTCCACCTTCCTCTCAAGGCTTTATCGTAGTCTCTTACAATAGTAACAGATTTGTTCTCTATTGCTTCTCCTTACTATTGTGTACCCAATTGCTTACCCGGGTTAGATTCAACCAGACAATCCTTGTCATTAACAGTTTCGTTTGTCATCTTAGTAAGACTACTTCTCTTCATCAAATATAACTAGGTGTATCTTCAATAATCATCAATAAAGAGAACAAAATACTTATGTCCACCAATGCAAGCCATAGAGTATGGGCCCCAATACTTATATGTATCAAATGAAAGGCAGCATTGCTTATTTTATTACTTGCAAAACATGTTGTTATACAATATTTTGAAAACATGACAAACTTTACATTGTAGACCATAAATAAACAGACTGAAATAAATTGGGAAACAAAAGCTTTGTAGAACTCAAGAAAACATGGCCAAGATGACAATGCCACAACCTCCATTGTTTCTTCCACCACCTCTTCCTTACTTCTACCACAACCACCTCTAACACCATGACCTGCACCTCTAAATGTACCTCTCCCCCCTAAAACCCCTTCCACCACCATCTCTAACTGCCACTAAGGCAGACTTCTCTGAAGAAGTAGAATGATCATTGTGGGGTTGGGTCGGTTGGCGTGTCCTACGGATATGCGAAAACACCTCGAAAAGGGAAGGAAGATCACTACTTCCCAAAATCTGAGCTCTCATAGGTTCAAATTCCGATCTCAGTCCCGACAAGAATCTTGCAACATCTAAATGTTCCCTTTGATCTGTAATCTGCTGTACCTTTAGATTAGGGGAGAGAGGTTGGTAAACATTCAACTCATTCCATAAACTTTTCAGAGTTGCATAATACTCCTATACACTCTTATCACCTTATTGGAGAGAAAAATAATCTTGATACAGTTGATAGATCCTTGTTACATTGTGTTGTCCCGAGTATAACTGTCGGGTATGCTCCCAAATCTCCTTGGCAGTGTCCAGAAACATGAGATTAATACTAATTTTGTTTTCCATACTATTCTGTAAGGCAGTCATAATCTGAGCATTTTCCTGCACCCATTCACTGTACCCCTTTGACACACTCTTGGGTGGATCTTCCTTTACATATTTCAACTTCACTCTAGCAATCAAGGACAATTCCATGGATTTAGTACCATTGAGCTTAATGATGGTTAGGTAGGTATTCATAAAGTCCGATTGCACCGCTACAGAGGGCTTGGAGCTATTACTAGAGGCAGCCATAGGAAGAGTAAAACACCAAACAAGGATTAATGACAGTAATCACCAATCACAAGATGGAAAGCACACTACGACAACTTTAAGCTCAAGTACGAGTACAACAACACCTTGCTACAGTAGTTTGAAGCCCTAGAAACCAACAAACAAAGGCTTGCACAAGCTTGTAGAGTATAAAAGGACTCTACACACCATAGGAAGTGAGTTCCCACACCACAACACACCAAATTAATCACCAAACATAGTCACAAACCTGCCAAACTCAACACACATACGTGTATTTACGTCTAGGGCTGCGGCAAAGAGGAACTTAATACACCACACATTAAACTGACCAACTCAAGGCATGACCAGTCCCTTTAGCAACTTGTCTCAAAAAGGAGTTCTCAACTCCTAGGGCGCAAAACAGAGGCGTGAATAGTAATCCACGAGTTCACAGCTCTAATACCATGTTATTGTTTGTAAATAAAGTAGAAAAAGAAAGGGAAAAGGAAGAAAAAGGTTAGGAAAGCTGTATTGCATAGTAGAAAACAAGGAGAAAGTTGGAGGAAGAAGAAAAGTAGGTTTTAAGGAAGGAATACGAACTGTATATCCCTTCCTCTCGACTTGCACTGTAGCACTGTTCATTAAACATGCGAAAATTACAAAAATGCCCCTATCAAGTGATTCTTAACAGGGAAATACCCGATTACATCAAATGACTAAAATGCCCTTGTGGGCAAATATATCAACAAGTATGATTGGGAGTGACCGTGAGGTGAATGGAGTATACCTTCTCGATGTTCTTCCTAGTCATCATAGCCATCATATTAGCAGTAGGAGTAACGAGTCAGAGTTAGTGGGTCAAATTATGCTTTGGCATAAGTGGTTAGAGCATTTGTCTTTTGGGTCTCTACGCTTTTTGTTTCCAAAACTATTTGAGTCTATTAAGTTGTCCAGTTTGGAGTGTGAGGGTTGTTAGCTTAGAAAACATTGTAGACATTCATTTAAGGCAAATAATAAAAGATGTTCTTTAGTTTTTGACATTATTCATACTAATGTTTGGGGACCATATAAAGTTCATTCTATGGGTTCCTACCATTATTTTCTTCTATTTGTGACTATTCATGGTATTCTTGGGTATACTTGATGAGATCTCGTGATGAGGTACCTTCTTTGGTACAACAGTTCCATTAAATGGTGTTGACACAGTTTGGAGTACGAGTGAAGGTGTTCAGATTATATAATGCTAGGGAATACTTTGAGAAAGACCTGGCATCATATTTATTATTATTAGAGCATGGAGTTGTACATCAAAGCAGCTGCTACACATATACTCCACAACAGAATGGTGTAGCAGAAAGGAAGAATAGACATATCGTGGAAGTGGCAAGAAGTATGATGGTGAGCTCCACAGTTCCAGTTCAGTTTTGGGGTGATATAGTTTTCACAACAATCTTCTTGATATCGGGTACCCTCTCATGTTTTTGGATACATTGCTTCATTCAGCCTTCTTTTCCTAAGGGGGAGATGTTTCATGTTCCATTGAGGGTGTTTGGGTGTGTATGCTTTGTCCATATCCTTACTCCTCACAACTTGAAGCTGGACCCTAAAGCAAAGAAGTGTGTATTCCTCGGGCATGCAAGAAATTAAAATGGGTATTGTTGTTATGATCTCATGTTAGGGAGTTAGTATGTCACCATGGATGTCATTTTCTTTGAGTCCACACCTTTCTTTTCCAAGGAGTCTTTCTTAGGTAGAGTATTTTTGGGGAGGAAATGAGCAACCCACACCACTTCTTGTTCCATCTCCTGATGTAGGACCTTTGTGATTCAACACTATTATTGCAACTAAACTCAGGTTGTAGGTGTGCAGAACAGAAACAAATATCAGATTAAAGAAAGAAGAGAAGAGAAGGGAAGATGAAAGAAGATAATCCTAG